CCCACATGCAATTCACCCAGATTTTCTAGGCCCCCCTTCTGGCCTGGGCCCAGTACAGGAGGACTGGTGGTACCCCCTTATCCACAGCCCTGGTTACAGACCAGAATCCCATTATCATTTTTTTTTAAATTAGCTGCCGTTCCATTGGAAAACACTTTCAATATTTGTCCTGAACAACTTCACACACATCTGTTCTGTGTGAATGCCGCAAAATTGAATGCTACTAGACTGTTTTCTCTCCAAGTTGGATAGCTTTCATTCGTAAGAATAGCATGAAGCAGGAAAATGTCTCCTTATGGCCACTAGCTGGAGCTAATGATCATAGGAAATAAATCAGTAGCTCCTAATGACATAATATCCTAAGACGAAATGCGTTGGGGCGGCAACTTTTGTTCTGCTGTCACTTCCAACACTGTAAATACATGGCGGCCATCTTTAATGTGGGATTTTTTATGGTTTTAAGGCAAACACTTCTTGATACTACATAAGTGCATTTATTTTATGATTTTAATAAAACTAATGGCACTTTTCACTACGTGGGTTTCCGCTCCTTCTTCCCTAATGTCAGGTAGTGAGCATCTTTGCCTATTGCAGCTTAAGTGGGATGGTTGGCGGGTGGCAAAACCAGGGTCAGCTACAGCCATTTCTTCCTTATATCCATTTAAAGTCCAGAATTGATAAGGCTTGTCTAAGCTTCCAGAAAACAGGGGGCGAGATCTGAAGTTATACACCGCAGAGCTCAGTGAGGAGAGCTGTGAGAGCTGACTAGAGGGAAGGGACAGAGCTGAGGCTGTCAATTACAAACTGTGTGCTGGAGCTTTTTTTTTCTCTCAGTGTCAGGAAAACCTGTCAGAAGTGACTTAGACAGATAACAGAGGAATGAGGCAGCAGACAAAAATGACACTTAGTGCTCTGGATTGAGACAAGTACACACTATAGAGGGATATGCTTTGTTCATATTTCATGAGGTTTGCAACCACTTTCAGACATTCCAGACATGTTCCATTCCCCCTTCAGGCTTGGAATGCATTTACATTTTTGAAATGCATTTACAAATATATGTAAAAATATATGTTAAAATGACTTTTTTTTATATGTAAAAAAAAATCTGAAGAATATATTTAAAAGAATATATTTAAATATATTTTTCAGATCTTTTTTAACATATAGAAAAGTCATTTTAACATATATTTTTACATATATTTGTAAATGCATTCCAAAAACGTAGATTTGTATTGTTAAAAACACAGTATATTTGAAACGTATGTCTAAAAATATTTTTCATATATTTTGTAATAAAAACGCATTTCAACATACAGTGTATATATATATATATATATATATATATATATATATATATATATTGAATATGGCCAAAATTGTAGCACTTCAAATATATGTCAATATATTTGGGAAATATAAATAAATGTAGGAATGCGCTCTATAATAACTCAATCAAAGAAAAAAACACTTAATAGTGCAAGTTAAACAAAAAAGTCCATGTGTCAAGTCCAAAAAATGTCACTCTGTAACTTATTGTGAAGACATATATATATATATATATATATTGTAACAAGGTTAGCTCGGCAGCGGGTGTGTGTGACCCCCTGGATGGGTGCACAACACAAAAAGATAGGCACAGCACAACAATAGTGGAGGTGAAAACAAACAGGTGCAATTTATTTACAACATTTACAGAAAAAACGATAAACAAAAAGAGACATCAAAATAAATCCTGGCCAACTTGGCTACTTACTGCAACAACAGCTTTTCCCTAGCTACCCACTAGGTACAGCCTGCTGCTATACCTAGTTGCTAGTACTGGGAGGTTAGCCACACAGATAACAGGTCAGCTCCCCAGACAGTTCAGGCACAGATCTGGTTCCAGGGTGGAGCAACTCCCTAAGCACTCTGGGAAGCTTTATACAAGTGTTAATGAGCCCACTACCTTCAGCTGGGCTCATTATCTCAGTGCTGAAGGACTCAGCACTTCCCTCTAGTGGTACAAATCCCCATAAACCCTGAATCTCGGACAAATATATCGTCCATCCAGGACGCAACCAGGTGATTTCACCTGCCTACTGTCACAATATGTATATATCATCGTAATCATAATCCACCACCAGAAGAAATAAATAAACTCACCAGAGCTTAATTCTGATTAAATTATAAACCAGCATTAGCACTGTTGCTCTGGGAGCGATGGTAATAAGGTATATCCAGACTTTAGGAGCAAAACTCTGTAGCAAATTGGGATAGCCAAACTCTGGGAGTAATACTCTGCAGCAACACCAAGCCAGTGGGTAAGGAAACCTTTTATCTGATCATCTTCTCCATCATAATCGTAGAACCACATGGGCTCCCAATGGGCAGAGCCTGGATAGGTGTGACGTCATGACGCTCCCTGGTATTGTCGGCGGTGTCTCGTCTATCCTTTGTGGTCTATTGCTGATCGTTAACGGTGTGACACCTTGTTTGTGAGTGTTTATATAGCTGTTTGAATAAATGTCAATAATTTTAAAACACGCTGCACCATCATGCCTTTTCTTTATCCCTGAGTGTGGTTCTACGATTATGATGGAGAAGATGATCAGATAAAAGGTTTCCTTACCCACTGGCATTTATTCAAACAGCTATATAAACACTCACAAACAAGGTGTCACGCCGACACCAGCATGATCAGCATTAACGATCAGCAATAGACCACAAAGGATAGATGAGTCCCGCTTGCCGCGGACACCACCGACAATACCAGGGAGCGTCATGACGTCACACCTATCCAGGCTCCGCCCATTAGGAGCCCATGTGGTTCTACGATGGAGAAGATGATCAGATAAAAGGTTTCCTTACCCACTGGCTTGGTGTTGCTGCAGAGTATTACTCCCAGAGTTTGGATATCCCAATTTGCTACAGAGTTTTGCTCCTAAAGTCTGGATATAGCTTATTACCATCGCTCCCAGAGCAACAGTGCTAATGCTGGTTTATAATTTAATCAGCATTTAGCTCTGGTGAGTTTATTTATTTCTTCTGGTAGTGGATTATGATCACGGTGATATATATATATTATATATATACAGTATTTTTCGCTCCATAAGACGCACCTGACCATAAGATGCACCTAGGTTTTAGGGGAGAAAAACAAGAAAAAAAATATTCTGAACCAATGGATTGCAGACACAGTACAGGGGATGACCAGAGACTGCGGACATAGTACAGGAGATGACCAGAGACTGCGGACAAAGTACAGGGAATGACCAGAGACTGCAGACACAGTGCAGGGGATGACCAGAGACTGCGGACACAGTACAGGGGATGACCAGAGACTGCGGACACAGTACAGGGGATGACCAGAGACTGCGGACACAGTACAGGGGATGACCAGAGACTGCGGACACAGTGCAGGGTATGACCAGAGACTGCAGACATAGTACAGGGAATGACCAGAGACTGCGGACATAGTACAGGAGATGACCGGAGACTGCGGACACAGTACAGGGAATGACCAGAGACTGCGGACACAGTACAGGAGATGACCAGAGACTGCGGACATAGTACAGGAGATGACCAGAGACTGCGGACATAGTACAGGGAATGACTAGAGACTGCAGACATAGTACAGGAGAAGACCAGAGACTGCAGACATAGTACAGGGAATGACCAGAGACTGCGGACATAGTACAGGAGATGACCAGAGACTACAGACATAGTACAGGGAATGACCAGGGACTGTGGACATAGTACAGGGAATGACCAGAGACTGTGGACATAGTACAGGGAATGACCAGAGACTGCGGACATAGTACAGGAGATGACCAGAGACTATAGACATAGTACAGGGAATGACCAGAGACTGTGGACATAGTACAGATGACCAGAGACTGCAGACAGTACAGGGAATGACCAGAGACTGCAGACAGTGCAGGGGATGACCAGAGACTGCAGCCAGTAAAGGAGATTACCAGAGACTGCGGACCTTTGGGGAGGGAGGGGGAACGGGTACCTGAATTTGACAGGTACCCGCTCCCACTTCCGTGGAGTTGTCCTTCCCTTTCTTCCCGCTGCAGCTTCTGTGACAGCCGGGTGCCCACTGCGCATGCACGAGAATTGCTGCGCTTTGTGAATGGCCCAGAGCCTTCTGGGACCTGTCATGTATCCCGGAAGACACCGGACCATTCACAAAGCGCAGCGCTTCTCGCACATGCGCAGTAGGTACCCGGCTGTCACAGAAGCCGCCACAGGAAAACTGCAGCGCTGGAGCGAGGAACAGGTAAGGTCCTGCAGGAGAGAAGAGCTGAGCGGCTGGCCCAATATTCTGACGTGGTGGTGGCAGAAATACCTGACCGGCCGCTTTACATTCGCTCCATAAGACGCACTGACATTTTCCCCCCTTTTTTGGGGGGAAAAAAGTGCATCTTATGAAGCGAAAAATACGGTATATATTTCTTCACAATAAGTTACAGAGTGACATTTTTTGGACTTGACACATGGACTTTTTTGTTTAACTTGCACTATTAAGTATTTTTTTCTTTGATTGAGTTATTATAGAGCGCATTCCTATATTTATTTATATTATCTATACCTTGTATTTAGGGTTTTAGGTTTGCTGCTTATATTTATATAATTTTTAATTTTTATATATTTTTTTTATTTTGCCGCTTTTCTAATTTGATTTATTGACAATATATTTGGGAGGAATATTTTTAAAATATATTTCAAATATATTTTTCTTCCATGTGGGTAGCCAGGCTCCTGCAAGCCAAATAATTGTCTGATCAACAGAGAAATGCCGACACTCGATCACTAATCGTCAATTGCTGTTTTATTACAATACGGTTAACAATCAAAGCATGACTGAGAACTAACGCGTTTCGTCCTCTAGGGCCTTACTCATAGTTATAACTCTTTCCCACTCCAATGAAGCTGTGGCCCTCTATACACTTTACCTGCTACAAATGTACTGTAGAGATGAGTTGTATTAATCCATTTGTGTCCTCTTACAGCTACATTCCGATGTGGACTCCGGGGACGGGAAGATTAAGTACATACTCTCAGGGGAAGGCGCTGGGACCATTTTTGTTATCGATGACAAATCAGGGAATATTCATGCAACCAAGACCTTGGACCGGGAAGAACGGGCCCAGTATACGTTAATGGCACAGGCGGTGGACCGGGAAACAAATAAGCCCTTGGAACCCCCTTCGGAATTTATTGTGAAAGTCCAGGATATAAATGACAACCCTCCAGAGTTCCTACATGAAAACTACCATGCAAATGTGCCGGAGATGTCTAGTGTGGGTAAGTGGCATCCTGGATTATATGATGTTCATGTCAAGTTCACCAAATCTAGCTTTCTGATAATGAGATCTGCCAGCACAGTGGAGGCTGGGTAATAATGGTAAACATACCCTCCCATTAGCCACCATCTTAATAGGGATGATGACATCATTGACCTTATATGATCACATGGCCACAGTTGGACAATGTCATTGGCCATGTGGCCATATTAGGTCAATGATGTCACCAGCATTCCTGCCCCTTTGCTAGGTGTGGCTGCGGGGTGGAGAAGTCCATATCCACATGTGGCCATATTAGGTCAATGATGTCACCAGCATTCCTGCCCCTTTGCTAGGTGTGGCTGCGGGGTGGAGAAGTCCATATCCACATGTGGCCATATTAGGTCAATGATGTCACCAGCATTCCTGCCCCTTTGCTAGGTGTGGCTGTGGGGTGGAGAAGTCCATATCCACATGTGGCCATATTAGGTCAATGATGTCACCAGCATTCCTGCCCCTTTGCTAGGTGTGGCTGTGGGGTGGAGAAGTCCATATCCACATGTGGCCATATTAGGTCAATGATGTCACCAGCATTCCTGCCCCTTTGCTAGGTGTGGCTGCGGGGTGGAGAAGTCCATATCCACAGCTGATTAGAACAGCGGCCTGCTGTCATGTTTCAGGTCAAACTCAGTTTGGTCCAAACCTCCCCCCTACTCTTAGACTACTTTCTCACTGGTCCGCCACAAAAACACAACAAAAACGCATTGGCATTATTACCGCGCTTTCTGAGCATTTTTAAAGGACACGTGACTTAAAAACTGCACCAAAAATGCTTCTCAGAGGCGGTTTTAAGGCACTTTTCAGGCGTTTTTCCATTGATTTCAGTGGGAAGAGGCGTTTTTTGGGGCATTTTTTTTAACTCACCAAACATGCCCCAAAGATGCTGCAAGCACCACATCGCAAACGCAACGCCTCAGTGTGAAAACATACATAGATATACATTCACATCCATAGGGACGCATTTTGCTTGAGCTTTTCCGGCACTTTTTTTTTACTACAAAAAGACTTCAAAAACTCCTCAGTGTGAAAGTAGCCTTAAAGTGGTAATTCACCCAAAACCTAAAATGTCATATATTGCGGCTTATCAATCATTAGATGTGATTAGTTTTCTTCTCAAAGGCTTTTCCCCCTCTGTTCTCACCTGGTGATTTGGCGAGTAACACATCTCCTCCACTCTGGCTGAAGGAGCACAGGGGGCACAGCAGATAGCAGCATTGTCAGTCTGTGGGGAGGAGAGTGTTAGATGTAAGCTCCATTTAGATTGTAAGCTCCATGAGCAAGGCCCTCTAATTCCTTCTGTATTGAACTGTATTTTAATTGTACTGTCCCCCTTATATTGTAAAGCGCTGCGCAAACTGTTGGCTCTATATAGATCCTGTATAATAATAATATTAGATGTACTAGCAGTTTAAATACACTAACAAACTGGAGCCAGCCTTCACACAGTTACAGCAAACTATTTTTGTTCCTTTTGGGATAAAGGTTTCTTTTATAAATAAATAAAAGCTGATCATTGTAAGCAGCCCTGTCAGTGTTCAATGGTTCGTCTCATCCCTGTCACTAATACATCTGGTAGAGAGCTTGTTCTTTTGAAAAACAACAGACTTGCTGGGTTGATCACCAGATGAAAATAGAAGAAAGAAAAAGTAAAAAAGAAGTGCAGCCATCAGACCTATGAATTGGTAATCTGCAATATAATAAATGTTTGCTTTTGGGTTTAATACTGCTTTAATTATTAAATAGAGGGGGAAGCTCGGTAGAATTTTTTAAGCAAGTAAAAAGTTAAGCAGCTATTTATTATTATTATTATTATTATTATTATTATTATTATAATAATAATAATAATAATAATACCAATAATAACAATAACAACAATAATAATACTACTACTAATAATAATATCAATAATAACAATAACAACAATAATAATACCAATAATAATAATAATACCAATAATAATAATAATATCAATAATAACAATAACAACAACAACAATAATAATAATAAATAATACCAATAATAACAATAACTATAATAATACCAATAATAATAATAATAATAATAATAATAATACCAATAATAACAAAACAATAACAACAATAATAATAACAACAATAATAATAATAATAAATAATAACAATAATAACAATAACAATAACAACAATAATAATAATAATAATAATACCAATAATAACAATAACTATAATAATACCAATAATAATAATAATAATAATAATAATACCAATAATAACAATAACAACAATAATAATAACAACAATAATAATAATAATAATATCAATAATAACAATAACAACAACAATAATAGTAATAATAATACCAATAATAACAATAACAATAATAATAATAACAACAATAATACAAATATTATTAATATTTTATTTGATGCATTTTTATGTCATGCTATGTAAATAGGAACATGTAACAAATATAAAGAAGGTTTTTTTTTCCAATTTGGCCACACAAGTGGAACTACACTTTACCTATTTGATTTATTTGTAAACCAAAATAACGGCCCACCCCTTATGGTATCAGGTAGAATATGAAGCCATTTCAATAAGATCGAATTCAAAGTTTCTATTTTAGATGCTATGTATTGTGTCATATTCATATTTGTACATTCTCACTGTGACATATTTTTATGTTCATATTTTATATGCAGTGTGGCTGCGCCCTCTAGTGTCTGCCTGTGTAACAGTCAGTTAAAGCAGTATTAAACCCAAATGCAAACATTATATTGCAGCTTACCAATACTGAAATGTGATGGCTGCATTAGTTTTCTTTTTTAGGATTTCTTTACTCTATTTTCATCTTTCATTCAGCCAGCAACTCTGCAGTTTTTGTCAGAAGTTCAAACTCTCCAGCAGAATGTATCAGTTTACATGCATGAGGCAAACCATTTAACAGTGACGGGTGGTTAAATGATCAGCTTTTATTTATTTATGTAAAAGCATTTATCCCTAAAGGAAAAACTATTTGATGTAACTGATTATAAAGTGTGAGCTTTGGGTTTGGCTTCAGTTTGTTATTGTATTTAAATCTGCCAGTACATTTAACATTGCCCTCACCCCAAGACAGACAATACTGCTGTCTGCTGTGCCCCCTGTGCTCCTTCATCCAGAATGGGTGACTCTAATACATTCCCCTCACCCCAAGACGGACAATACTGCTGTCTGCTGTGCCCCCTGTGCTCCTTCATCCAGAATGGGTGCACTCTAATACAAAAGGCACGTTACAGCAGTTTTCCTTTTTTGGGTAAAGATTTTACATAATTAAATACAAGCTGATCATTGTAAGCACCACTACTACTGTTAAATGGTTTGTCTCATCTCTATAACTGATGCATTCTACTGGAAAGCTTGTTCTATTGAAAAATAACAGACTTCCTGTCCAGATCCCCAGAAGAAAATAAAGGAAAGAAAGTCTAAAAAAAGAAAATGAATGCAGCCACCACATCTAAGAATTGGGAAGCTGCAATAAAATGAATGGGTTTAATACCTCTTTGAGCTTCAGTAAAGTGACTTAGGTTTTGATGATGTCATCAGTCTGCTGCAGGCAGGAGGACACTTTTTGTAGTCTCCCAGTGACCAGACTGCAACATTGTAGGTGAGTGGCTGCAGCAGGGTCTGATCTGTGTCAGACATGGTAAAAGCAAAGCCCAAAACAGTACATGAACCAGGATTTACACAATTGTGTCATCTCAGAGCCACCTCAGTGCAGGAAGTCAATGATGACCTTGAATGATGCCTAAAAAAGATGGCGTCATCCATCCGGAGAGAAAAGCAGATGAAGACATTGTTAGGGGGGGTCCTGAGATCTTTGTGAGGGGTACAAATACCTGAAAGTGTTACAATTCCACATTACTTAGCATGCATGGAACTGACATGAAAAATACATTTCTGATAATAGGTTTTCTTTAGCCACTTGACTACCAGGAACTTCCATCCCCTTCCTGCCCAGGCCAATTTCCAGCTTTCAGCGCTGTTGCACTTTGAATGACAATTGTGCGGTCATGCAACACTGTACCCATATGAAATTTGTTCTTTTTTTGAGACATATAGAGCTTTCTTTTGGTGGTATTTAATCACCTCTGGGTTTTTAATTTTTTGCTAAACAAGCAAAAAAAATATGTTTTGTTAGTTTCTGTTTTAAAATTTTGCAAACAGGTAATTTTTTTCCTTCACTGATGTACACTGATGAGGCTGCACTGATGGGCACTGATAGGCTGCACTGATATGTGGCACTGATATGCTGCACTGATGGGCACTGATGATGAGACTGCACTGATATGCAGCACTGATGGGCACTGATAGGCTGCACTGATGGGCACTGACGAGAAGGCACTGATGAGGCTGCACTGATATGCAGCACTGATGGGCACTGATGAGAAGGCATTGATGAGGCTGTACTGATATGCAGCACTGATGGACACTGATAGGATGCACTGATGAGTACTGATGAGGTGCCACTGATGAGTCTGCACTGATATGCAACACTGATGGGCACTGGTAGGCTGCACTGATGAGGCTGCACTGATATGTGGCACTGATGGGCACTGATAGGCTGCATTGATGGGTACTGATGAGGTGGCACTGATGAGTCTGCATTGATATGCGGCACTGATGGGCACTGATAGGTGGCACTGATGGGCACTGTGTCATTGGACACAGCTGATCACATGGTAAAAGGGCGCTGTGATTGGCCCTTTACCATATCATGTGATCTGCTGTGTCCAACGGCTGGTGCGCGCCCCAGGGAGGTGCGGTGCTGGAGGACGTTATATGATGCCCTCCCAGAACTAGACAACCGCACTGTAGCCGTCATTCGGGTGATGCCCGGTCAACAAGTGGTTAAAACGGTTTAAAGCGGAACTAAACTCATCGATTTAACGGTTTCAAAATTCAGTTACATTCCCGGCATGCCAGGGGGGCGAACTCTCACAATTGCTTGTGCTTCCAACCAGACTGTCAAACCATGAAATGGCCGGTGTCATGACTGATCACATGTGCAGCACCATGGCAATTGCAGATCAAACAGAGGCTACAATAGCAGCTTCCTTGGATGAAAAGGATAGGAGGGTTTAGTTCCGCTTCATGCTGCTTATATTTTTCCTTCCTGGTTCCTCTTTTCCTCTCATCAACATGCTAATGAAATTCTTAAATAAAAACCTTTCCATTTTCATGATATACTCGATCATCACCGGGCTTCTGTGCTTCTCTATGCAATTCTGGCAGATCATGGCTGGTGGGAGAGACTAGCAGCATACCTTACATAGCTTCCTGAAAACATCACAGCACCCAGCCTCGGTACTCCTTTTAAGCACCTGATGCAAGCAGTGGGCTGGGTCTTGGGAGGAGTTATGCAAATATTAAAATACCTTGATGCATGTGGACAGCCATAGCTAACACCCGCATGTAATGCTGAGCCTCCATTGTTGCAGAGTAATGTGCAATGTACAGAACCCCCCCCCCCCCCCTTACATCAGATGTCAAGAGCCCCCACCTTCCCTTACATCACAATGCACCTCCCCCCGTTACCTTGTGTTGCTGCCAGAAAGAAGCTGGGGGTGGAGCTAGGAAGCAGAAAGTGCAGGGTCTGGAGGAGGGCTGGAGTCATCTGCCAGAGTCTGCTGAATACTGAGACCAGGGGGGCACAGGATGGGCACAGGAGGAGGTCTGTCCTCCTCTCTGCTGCTGACTGTTGAGATGGGGGGCAGAGACTTACTGCTCCACGGCTGCACAGAGAGGCACAGGATCTGTAAAAGGAGTTCTGTCCTCCTCTCTCTTGCTAACTGTTGAGAAGGGGGGGACAGAGACAAACCTATACATGGCTGCACAGAGAGGTGCAGGATCTGTATGAGGACTTTTGTCCTCCTCTCTACTGTCAACTGTTGAGACAAGGTGGGGGCAGAGATGAGGGGGTTGCTGCGACTGCATAGAGAAGCACAGGATCTGTAAGAGGAGGTCTGTCCTTCTCTCTGCTCCTGACTGTTAAGATTGGGGAGGGGAGAGACGAACCTCTATAGGGTTGCACAGACAGGCGCAAGATCTGTAGGAGGAGTTCTGTCCTCCTCTCTGCTGCCAACTGTTGAGACAAGGTGGGGGCAGAGACGAGGGTGTTGCTGCGACTGCATAGAGAATCACAGGATCTGTAGGAGGAGGTCTGTCCTCCTCTCTGCTGCCGACTGTTAAGATTGGAGAGGGGAGGGGAGAGACGAATCTCTCCACAGGTGCACAGAGAGGCACAGGATCTGTAGGAGGAGTTCTCTCCTCCTCTCTGCTGCCAACTGTTGAGGCAAGGTGGGGGCAGAGACGAGGGGGTTGCTGCGACTGCATAGAGAAGCACAGGATCTGTAAGAGGAGGTCTGTCCTCCTCTCTGCTGCCGACTGTTAAGATTGGGGAGGGGAGAGACGAACCTCTATATGGCTGCACAGAGAGGCGCAGGATCTGTAGGAGAAGTTCTGTCCTCCTCTCTGCTGCCAACTGTTGAGGCAAGGTGGGGGCAGAGATGAGGGGGTTGCTGCGACTGCATAGAGAAGCACAGGATCTGTAGGAGGAGGTCTGTCCTCCTCTCTGTTGCTGACTGTTAAGATTGGGGAGGAGAGAGACAAACCTCTATACGGCTGCACAGAGAGGCGCAGGATCTGTAGGAGGAGTTCTCTCCTCCTCTCTGCTGCCAACTGCTGAGACAAGGTGGGGGCAGAGACAAGGGGGTTGCTGCGACTGCATAGAGAAGCACAGGATCTGTAGGAGGAGGCCTGTCCTCCTCTCTGCTGCTGACTGTTAAGATTGGGGAGGGGAGAGACGAACCTCTATACGGCTGCACAGAGAGGCGCAGGATCTGTAGGAGGAGTTCTCTCCTCCTCTCTGCTGCCAACTGTTGAGACAAGGTGGGGGCAGAGATGAAGGGGGAGCCACTTCTGCAGGAAAAGGTGTGAGAACCACATGACATGGCCTGGAGGGTATATTCAGCCCATGAGCCTTGTATTTGACACGTGGTCTAATGGGTGGGCCAGGGACTGTCAGGGTCGGGATGAAAGCAGTAGATGATGTTGGATGTTTTTCAGCCAGGGAATCAGGTGGGCTGTATCTTTCTGCAGTTTCTAACACACACTGTGAAAAGCTCACAGTGTGCCGGTAAATAAAACTAAGCAATTTCAATACAGGAGAGGAGTCTGTACAACTGTACAAGACTGAAGGGAAGGCTGGAGTTCAGCTTTATATTAAGCCATGAGTTGTATTAGAATCTCACACAGGGGTTTATGCCTGATAGTGATTTACTAACATAATACAGAATGAAATAACAAGTCATTTATATCCCACAATGCTCAGATGTATTTCCTTCAGTGCAATTCACACATCTCCCGCACAGCACAATTACTGTATATTCATGCGATCCAACAGCGAGGAGCTTTATCCTTGAGGTCATACAAATTGCATTCACATATGGGAAAGCTCTGATCTCCTCCTGTCATTAAAGTACTTAGGAAAGAAGGGTGGAAGTGTTGTCACCATTCATCGTCTTCCCGTGTGCTATCTGCTATATTGGAGCTGCAACTCTACTTTGGTGTACCTGTCCAAAAATATTCCAAACATTTAAGTAGAACTAAAGGCACACCTCTATTTCATTTTGGATAGCGTAAGGAAGAGTTATAACCCCTGTCAGGTTTTTTTTGCCATCTGTGTCCCCGTTGGGTAGATTCCTTTCACTTCCTGTCCCATAGCCAGAACGGAAAGTGAGAGGAAATCCCTGGCTGTCCTCATTGGAAGAGTTCCCATCTATTCCTGTTCTGGTAACAACCCAAAATGTGAGATTTCCTTTCACTTTTGCTCTCATGGACAAGGGCAAACAGGACACATGGAGAGGGTGCATCTCCTTGCATTGGTGGTCAGTGGGATGGATGTTCCTTACATTGGAGGTCAGTGGGAAGAATGCTCCTTACATTGGCGGTCAGTTGGAAGAATGCTCCTTACATTGGCGGTCAGTGGGAAGAACGGTCCTTGCGTTGGTGGTCAGTGGGAAGAAAGCTCCTTACATTGTAGGTCAAAGAGAAGAATGCTGCTTACATTGTAGGTCAAAGAGAAGAATGCTGCTTACACAGGAGGTCAGTGGGAAGAATGTTCTTTACATTAAAGGTCAGTGGGAAGAATACTTCTGACATTAGTGGTCAATGGGAAGAATGTTCCTTACATTGGTGGCCAATGAGAAGAATGTCCCTTACATCAGAGGTCAGTAGGAACAATGTTCCTTACATTGCAGGTCAATGGAAGGAATGTTCCTTAAATTGGAGGTCAGTGGGAAGAATGTTCTTTACATTGGAGGTCAGTGGGAAGAATGTTCTTTACATTGAAGGTCAGTGGGGAGAATGCTTCTGACATTAGTGGTCAATGGGAAGAATGTTCCTTACATCAGAGGTCAGTGGGAAGAATGTTCCTTACATTGGAGGTCAATGGGAAGAATATCCCTTACATCAGAGGTCAGTGGGAAGAATGTTCCTTACATTGGAGGTCAATGGGAAGAATATCCCTTACATCAGAGGTCAGTGGGAAGAATGTTCCTTACATTGGAGGTCAATGGAAGGAATGTTCCTTAAATTGGTGGTCAGTGGGAAGAATGTTCCTTACATTGGTAGTCAGTGGGAAGAATGTTCCTTATATTGTAGGCCACATGGAAGAATGCTGCTTACACAGGAGGCCAGTGGGAAGAATGTAACTTACATTGGAGGTCAGTGGGAAGAATGTCCCTTACATTGGAGGTCAGTGAGAAGAATGTTCATTACATTGGAGGTCAATGGATGGAATGTTCCTTAAATTGGAAGTCAGTGGAAGAATGTTCCTTGCATTGATAGTCAATGGGAAGAACGTCACTTACATTGGTGGCCAGTAAAAAAAAATGCAACACGTACAGTGGCGGTAAGAATGCAACCCCTACGACTGGCTAAATAGATCATTTGTTTCATGCAACTGGCTCTACCAGGTGGTGTTGACTCCAGGACTATGCAGACACCATTAAATAGAAGGTCAATCAGCCACAGCTCAAGGAACCCCTAGAAACCTCTGAAGGAACCCTTAGGTTTCACAGAACACTGGCTGAGAATGGCAGCTCTAGTCCCTAAAACAAATACCTTTGTAAGAGCAGTAGAATACAATTACCATGCTGTATATGTATATATATAATGGCTGTCCCCATGTGCAATTCTAATTTAAAATTATAAATAAAATCAGATCAAACTCCATTTTAGTTATACTGTCTGCATTAGTCACGTGCTATGGTCATTCATATTTAAATTAAAATGTAGCATTCACACATCCAGTTATATATGTGCCCATTCCATGCCTTTATAAAGTTATATTTCTTATTATACGTCTCATAATTTTAAATTTCCAGCTATATTTTAATTAATTGCAGTTCATAGCTCCATGCGAGAATCGCACAGATTGATTTTTAGAACACAGACAATGGTCTTAATTACTGCCAGGCATGCATGCTTAATCTCAAGAGTGCTGTGTGCTTATGCTAGATGTATACCTGTAATTACTTACTAAAGAGGAGTTTGTATAGTATCTTAGAGGACTAATCAACAGTAATAAGAAGGTTTCATTCTGGTGAATGATGCTGGCTAATAAGATGTTTTCTGCATAATGTAGGTACATCGGTAATCCAGGTCACGGCCTCAGATGCGGACGACCCTACGTATGGAAACAGCGCTAAGCTAGTCTACAGCATTCTCGAAGGACAACCTTATTTCTCAGTGGAAGCACAGACAGGTAAATACATGTATACTCCTGCATGTCTCTATTTAGAGAGGTAGACCCTACAGATACCTAGGAAGTCCCAGTCCTCACATTAGCCAAGGGTACATGGTCCTTCAGACCAAAATGGTACAATCTAGTAACAAGACTTTCTGAAAACATCAGTTTTTGAATTGTAGCTCTGGCCAAGAATGTTCTAATAAAACGTGTTTGTTTTTCAAATCTTTAATGGTTTAAACTGGTATTGTGATGAGAAAGTTCAAAGAAGGATGGAACTTTTTTCTCAAACAAATGCATTTCTAACAGTGTATGTGGTTCTCGTTTGGTGTATCCCATTCATTTCAAAATCAAATGTTAAAAGCAAACAAAATCTTTTGACATTGTCCTGAGAATTTTCGTACAAAATGTCCCTAAGAATTTTCATTTGGAACCCTATCCATCTATGGCCAGCTTAAGAATGTGCTTTTCATTATTACATGTTCAGAGTGCAAGTTACAATATGTGGGAAACACTGGAAGTCCGCATAGGAGGACTGCTCAATGGGTTGTGTTGGTCAGTGTACCACCATGTCTGGACAATTCTAAATGGCTAAACTCTTTTTGGAACGTGCATAAGGGAAATAGGATTTTGTTTTCATTTCACTCTATTGAACATGTTGATGGTTCTGTATGTGGAGGGGATCTACATCATTGTTTTGAAACTTTTTGGGTTTGTGAATTTTAGACCAAAATGCCCCAAGGTCTTAACTTTAGGTGGGACATTGCCTTCCATATCTAATGTTGCCGCTTTTCCATTTCTCTTTATATGTAGACTTGCCAATATATTGTGTCTGGTAAGCAGCTGAAGTGTTGATGTCTTTAGATATGTTTTTAGATACAGTGTGTATGATTTTGGATCCCTTGGGTAAAGCTGGCCATACACTGGTTTAACAGGTTTCCCCATCCACAAAAATGAGGTGGGTGGAAAAATCACTTGTATTCTGACAGCGGTAATGATTGGTGTCCTCCAAATAGTTAGAGCACAGTGGCTAAATGGTTAGCACTTCTGTCTGGCAGTACCAGGGTTGCTGGTTCAAATCTCAACCACGGCACCACCTGCCTGGAGTTTGCATGTTCTCCCTGTGCCTGTGTGGGTTTCCTCCGGTTACTCCAGGTTTTTCCCACACTCCAAAGACATGCTGGTAGCTGAATTGGCTCCTGTCTAAATTGGCCCTAGTATGTGTATGAATGTAGGTTAGGGACTTTAGATTGTATGCCCCTTGAGGGTTAGGGACTGATGTGAATGTATAATATATATGTAAAGCGCTGCGTAAATTGGCGGCGCTATATAAGTACCTGAAATAAAATACATAGTTGCCTGTAGAGATGTGCACGACAGAAAATTTAGTTTAATTTCAGATTTGTTCGTTAAGTTAATTTCTTTTTGTCATATCTGTTATGTTAGAATGAATCGTTTTCTGAATGTGTTTCATATATATTCAAGTTAATCTCAAATATTTTTTTTTTCAGTATTCAGTATTTGAATTTCAAAATTTGAATTTTGAAATGAGAATTTTGAAAGACAGTTATATTCTCTTCTCTTCGCTTCTTCTATTTTATTCCATTACATTATTCCATTCTTTTCTTTTCTTTTCCTTTCCCTTTTGTTGTATTGTATTGTATTCTATGCTATTCTTTTTTTTATTCTATTTTATTCTGCAGCCAAAGTAAGAATCGTCAGCTTATTTCACTTTTTTACCTTTCTGTATTTACTGCCATATATTTCCATTTCTAATTCAAAATTATTTTCTAATTCAAATTAATTTTCTAATTCATTTTTAAGCAATTTGTTTCGTTATAATTTTTTTGGGGATTTGTACTTGTTTAAATTTGTTACTGATGATTGTGATTTGAAAATTCGAATACATCCAATTACAAAACTTTTGTCTGCATTTTGATAAGTAAAGGAACAAATCTCACATTTCTAATTGGCTGCAGCTGCTGATCAATGGAAAATTCTCCAACATTCCCTTTAAACCAGTGGTTCTCAACCTTCCTAATGCCATGACCCTTTAATACAGTTCCTCATGTTGTGGTGACCCCCAACCATAAAATTATTTATCCAGTAATTATAATTCATGAGTGTCGTTTTACCTCCAATACTGCTGCTTTCAACACAGTAGCTGCTTTTAACAGAGTAGCTGCTTTCAACACAGCAGCTGCTTTCTACACAGTAGCTGCTCTTTACACATCGGAAATATGTGTTTTCTGATGGTCTTAGGGGACCCCTGTGAAAGGGTCGTTCGACCCCCAAAGGGGTCGCGACCCACAGGTTGAGAACCACTGCTCTAAACAGATGACTCCTACTGAGTGGGCAACCCATGCATTGCGTTTCCATCAGTGTATGGTCAGCTTAATCCGGTATGGTAATTATCATTATCCATGCCTTGCCTACCTTGGTTGATGGGTGACTATATAAGGATGGGGGATCCATCCATACTTTGCTACAACTAAGGCCAGGATTGGCTCAAATGCTTCATTAAGGCTTTTATCCTGTGTTCGCTGTGAAGAAATAAACATGTATAAAGGAACTTGCAAGTGTGTTGACAATTTGTAGTTTGTTAGATGGCTCATCTCTTTAATCTCTGCCTGTGTTACTTGTTGCTGTGAGTCAAATTTGAAACTTTTACCAGTTTTTATTTTTCCAGTTTTTAAGAAAGCAAGAAATGATGCAATTAATTCCTTTTGGCTTTTGTGATCAGTTGTGTATCCAGACTCATCATACGGTATATTTAGCCTAAACTCAAGGTACAACCATGCTTTACAAACCCCTTCTTCCCCAGCAGCACATAGTTATCTTTTTATCACTCATCAGTCATTAAGTTTTTTTATGAGCAGAGGAAGCTGCCCTGTATCCGATATCAACTTTGAGTAAATTGTAAATGATTGTGCAGCAGTAGAGCGAATTAATCACATATTGGGCCCCAGGCTGCTTTCTTTATGGGCCTCTCTGCCACTTTATTGGGATTGTGTATAAAGGCATGTGTCTTGCATCTGACATAATGGCAGAGGGTATCGATCAATGCTTCCAGGTACAAGGAAGGTATATGTATTGTCCATGACTATTTAATTATCTTAAAGTGGAAGTCCAGTAAAAACCTAACTAAGCTTAAACCTGCTCCCTCCCCCATTCTAAGCCATATACTAGCTACCCTGTAAAGGAAAGATGTGTATACGTACCTAATCTAAGAGCACTCTGGTCTGGTCACGTGATCGGTTCCCAGAGCTTGTTATCATGGCCATGCATGGCCACCTCGGCAGCTGGAGCGCCACTAACATAGAGTAACCTTCCAGGCACACCAGACCTTGCCCTGTAGCTCTCACTCTCTCTTGATGAGTGGGTCATGATTGGAGACTGGACCCCCTTTCCACCCTTCTGTTTGCGTAACCTTACCCCCTCACTCTTAGAGTTATCCAGTCCCTGGCCCTCATTCTCGGAAGCCAGATGACATCACTGATAATTCTTATCCTCTCTCACTACATCTACTGCAATACCTAATTAATTGAACACTGAGGGCACACATAGATCAACTTCTTAACTAAAGAATACAAAGTGGTAATAAAGCCATCATGGGTCTTAGACCCCAAGTCCAACATAACATTCTTCCTCCAGATGCTGTCATAAGTCCCTTTAAGGCTGGTGATGCATTGCTGTGCCTATCTCAGTGGAACCTGATACAGGGGAAAATCCCTTAGATACCCATCTCTCACTTGGCAACCCTTCCCATGGCCAGGGCTCTCTCCTCACTTATCTCCTTCCACCAAATGTATGGAATCCTGCCAGGAAGAAAGTGAAATCACCTTCCTTCCTGGAAGGGTTTAAAAGAGCCACAATCTTAGGTGGGCCACCTAGGCCACCTAGTGGGCCCAACCTCAACCTGACTACACGCTGGCTTCAGGGGAGAGGAGGGACAGAGAACAAAGGATGCCCCATAGTAAGTCTATGGGAGACACCACTGCCCAGGCTCTGCAGTCGTAGAATTTCTAGCCATGGCCATTTTGAGTAAGGGCAGATGATTCATGTAGCATTTGCTTCCTGGAATCTGTCTGCCCTTAGCTCAGACATGCTCCTCCAGGTGAAAGGAAAAAAATGGCATGAAGACTCCTGGGATGTATGATATAATTTTGGCCTAGGCCATAAACCAGGAAGCACCTAAAGAAATGTAAAACAAGAAGTTTAAAACAAGAAAATGTAATATACCTTCCTATCTATTTGTGGGGAGGTGCAGTGTAGGGCTGCAGCAGTGAACACACAGGGTCCAGTTGCAATAAAACCTGAAACTTGTATTGAGCAGAATGGCAAAGTTACAAACACCCTAGGGGGAGAGCGCTGCTTAGGAAAACAACTCACATTCCAATGCAGCGAGAGATGTGACTGAGGAGAGGTGCTGACAGCGTCTGTTTCAGAGGTTGGTGTGCGGCCTTACTGGTCTGTCTTAAACAGAGAGGCTACATCCCAGGTAGTGAGTCCCAGCCTGTCCGTGCTCTACTGAAACCTTTCCTTACCGCTAGTCACTTTCCCTAGCAAGCCGGGTCTCTTTCCCTACACTAGCCATTCGCAAAATGCACGCCAAAATCTGGGGGCAGGGATTCATAAAGACCTTGCTGACCCAAGATGGCTGCAAAGGGTCACATGGCTGCAGTGTAGCCAACCAGAACGTTGCTCCATTGACCTAGGAAACCATAGAAAACTGTGTTTTCCACTTGACTTACACTCCAGGCTGTGGTACCACTCAGGATTGGATGCCACCTACAGAGGAGAAAGCAGACTGCACCTGCCTACACCTTTACTAATACTAGCAGCAATAAAATAGATATTGTTGATTAAGAGAGTTTAGTTATGCTTAACGCATTGAAAAGCACAACTGACCTTTTTTTTTTATTCTCCAAAGCAGTGCACTGAGGGGGTCATTTGTAGTTCGCTCTTTACCATGGGTTCTGTAAAGATCAATAAAATACTACCAATTGAAAAAAATGTCAATGGGCCATCAAATAACAATTTGCTCCTCTCTTTATGCAAGCCCAAGGCACAACTATACATCTAGCATGCCATAAACTGTAGAAAGGTGATTCATAAACATAGCAAATCTGACTAAGAACTATAGACGGAAACCGCAATAAAACATAATACAATGTTTAAACATAATAAATAGATGGATTGGTTAGATTATTTTGTGCTTCAAGAATTCACTTGTTCTGTTCTTGCAGTTGTAAAGAATCAATTCCTGGAGATCGTACTTTGAAAGAACTCTCATTTCTGTCTAGAAAACAATAGTTAACAAAAGCAAAGTTGCATTTCAGGACTGTTTGTCGGTCGTTCATTTCTGTAAGCTAACAAAAGCAGCATGAGTAATCTAGGCTACTCTATTCTTATTGCATTAAATACTCATTACAATAGAAATCACACTGGAATTCTATCGTTGCAACTGAATAAAAGTAATACCCTGGGTCGGCAGTTTGTTCATTTTGGAAGTTACCATGGCAATCCAAATCTAAAATAAAAGTACAGGTTAGCACACATGTTTTTGGTGTGGTTGAATGTATATATACAGTATATATATATATATAGTCGATCCTAAACTCAGCGGCTAGACTCATCCACATCTGCCTCCCCCCTCTGCCAATCCCTTCATTGGCTCCCGATTGCCCAACGCATCAAATTCAAACTGCTAACTCTGACCTACAAAGCCATTCACAAACTACATAACCGACCTGATACCCAAATACTACCCTACCCGTGCCCTCCGCTCCTCACAGGACCTCCTTCTCTCTAGCTCCCTGGTCTCCTCCTCCCACGCCCGATTGCAGGACTTCTCTAGGACTTCCCCCATCCTCTGGAACTCCCTACCCCAATCCATCAGACTGTCACCTATCCTCCTCACCTTCAGGCGCACCCTGAAAACCCTCCTCTTCAGGGAAGCCTACCCCAACCTCACCTAACACCTGACCTCACCTAACAACTAACCTCCTCCACTCCTCCCACCACTCCATCCCCCACAGCCATTTCCTCCTGTACCACCTTCCCCTCCCTCCTAGATTGTAAGCTCGAAAGAGCAGGGCCCTCGAACCCCACGTGTATGGTATTGTTACTGTCTTGTCTCATGTTCTGTCCCCCTTGCTACTGTACAGCACTGAGCATACCCTTTTGCGCTATATAAATACTGTATAATAATAATATATGAAAAAAACTGCAGTATTGTAGGCAATATTTTTGTCAAACTGATCTCTTTAATCCGTAATGTTGTTTGCTCACGTAATGTGTTTGGTTACTTGCGGGTTTTTTTTAGGGTTTTTAAGAGTTTTACATCGATGGTTTGTGTCCTTGATAAATTTTATTTATTGAAAATGATTTTTTTTACAATTAAATATGTACAGGATGTATGAAAATTATACGTAAGTGCCTCGTATAGTTCATAGGGTGTGGGAACACACAATAGTGACTGCAGTAAGCTCTGTAGGATTGTGTAAAAAAGGACACAGGCAGTGCAGGAGTAGTTTTCACATTTATACGTAAACATAACAAAGGATCCCCAGAGTGCTGTGGGCTTTTTAAAGTGAGAACACAGTAGAAGCTATGCCCACGATCGGGGGGAACACAAACCTTCACAGGAAGGAGATAGAGTGAAAGGAATCATTCCTCTGAGTCTTAGAATCATATGTGTAAATTTTTGATTCAGCTATTGAGCTTTGTAAATAACATATTTTTTAGCATTGCCTAAAAGAATGTGTGCTTCACCTACTACATATGTAGCATTTTCCAGCATTCTCTGCAAATATGGTATCATGGAAAACAATGTGTATTACATGTTTATTATGAAAGCATTTTATAAATGTAGCACACTCCTAGTTGAGCTTCTAGGTAAATTCAGTGTTTGGCTTTTACTGTAGTCACTTGAGCAGCCATTGTTTGGTCTGGTCTATTCAGGGCTGCACAGGTTGAGAGTTTGATTACTCCACCAACCCCCCACCCCATCTCCAGAGGAAGTTTCTGGAATGTAGGGAGAGAGAATTCAATTGTGCAGCCTGAATATTGGACTAGGCCTAGCCAATCCCTGGGGAGGTCTGTCCAGATGGTGGCTGGACTGCTGGTAAATAGTCTGGATCTGTGAGGAGATTTTCTTTTTCCCTCTGTGGGGATGGATCTGTGAGGAGGGGAGCCCTGGAGTCCTTTGGATTGAATGCTGGACTACATTGCAAGAGGCTGCACCAATGGACTGGCTACTAGGATCCAGTGAGTTGAGCCTCTTTTCTACACAAAATCTTCTTCATCTGCCCAGCTATGAACCATAGACTGTTCCAGTCTGCCTTTACCTGAGCTCATACTGTTTAATGGTCCCCAGCTGTGAACCATGGACTGGTCCAACTTGCCTCTACCTGGTCTCATACTACTTCATTGTCCCAAGCCATGAACCGTGAACTGTTCCAGTCTACTTACAATAGTGCTATTGCTACTTCGAGGGAAATGTCCTCTGAACAACAATACCTGACGTTTTGGAGTATCCCAAATCACCCCAATCCCCTCCCAAGTTATACTGGCAAATAAACTTTAAAAGATAACCCCTAGACTGATCAACAAGCTGGAATGAATGGACTGTTGTTACTGTGTGCCTGGCTGCCTCTACACTATTTGGAAAGAACCTGCCTAACCTACAGAAGCCCATCCGGGAGTAGCACTACATACAAAATTGAAAATTGTACATTTAAAAAAATTACCACATACCACTATATATTTAAAGAAAGAATCTAAAATGGACTTCACCTTTTAGGGTTGGTCATTCATTTTACAAAATTGTGGCATTATTAGGAAATGTCTTGTGTGCCACACTTCACAGGTGGCAGTTGTATTTATTTATGCAATCTAAAATAAAATAATGAGGTTACCTACATAAATCTGTGAAGTAATTACTTTCCTGTTTTTCTAAACCTGCCCTATGAACATGCTTTAATCCAATTGGCTGTTGTAGAAAACACTTTATCTTTTTAACTTTATGAAGGAGTCTTGTTGTGGTGGGAAAACCAAAAACTCAGCTGTATTTCTTGTTTTCTTATCAACCCAGGAATCATCAGGACGGCACTTCCAAATATGGACAGAGAAGCCAAGGAGCAATACCATGTTGTCATTCAAGCAAAAGACATGGGAGGTCATATGGGTGGACTCTCAGGGACAACCAAAGTGACAATAACTTTGACAGATGTCAATGACAACCCACCAAAGTTCCCTCAAAGTAAGTGGCATCTGTGAGCAATAAGTGCCTACTGCATTTATGAGATCATAATATTTAATTAACTGATAAAAATGGAATCAGTGGTGCAGGACATATGTTCCCAGAGTTTACAACTGTGCCCAGACCTAAAGTAAACTGGTCAGTGTTGCAACCTTATCCTACATTTGTGTTTTAGAGATTTGTAACTGGTAAGAGGAGCAATGTCGGGGTCATGTCCGCTCCTTTTTAATGAATTTTAAGTAGGGAAGTGGGGAAGGATTTTACTTCACTTACTGTCCAGTTGTAATGGAAATACTCTCTTAGACAGTTGTCACCACAAGTGTCCTCATTGGCACACTTCCCTTTACCCTGGTAACAAGTCACAATTTAGAATTTTCTCTCACTTTTAGTCCCATCCAGTTCCAACGATCACCTGAACAAATAAAGAGTATAAATCTTTCCAGTGGGAACAAATACAGTATTAAAAACATGAGAAGGTATCTAACTATTCCCTACTCTACTCAAAACAAAAAAAAAAAAGTTATTGGAAGATGTTACTGAATGGAGGAGGTGACTTCCACACCAAAGTTAAAGCTGAGCTTTGGGGGAAACGTAAGACAAAAATAAGGATTACGTGCTCTTTTTTTGTTTAGAACAGCTTTTAATGCAGTTTTTACTTACCATACACCTCGCTCCCCCATACTCCTTGTTTCCCTTTATCACTCTAAGTTGTGGAAAAGCCCTCGACTTCCTCACTTACAATTCAGGAGTGCTCTTCCTGCACTGTGCATGATGTCTTCAGAGTGCAACCGTTGGACTGTCCAACTTGGACGGAGCACCACAGAAAATCAGCTTCTGGGATCGGTTGCACAGAGAGGAGGAAAAGGATATGTTCAGTAAAACTTAATTTAAAGCTACCCTAGACAAAAACAAGCATGATCAGGTATCCTACTTCAAGAATGGATTTTGTTTTTCCCATAGACTTCAGCTAAAAGTCCCTTCTCTTGAATGAAAAAGCAGCTCTGTAAGAGTCGTAATGTGGGAGAAAGATATTCCTTAGAGTGATCTTTTGAGATTCTGAAGAAAAGAAAGAGAAATGGAGAACAAACAATTCTAAAATCAGATGAAAAATAAAAACTATTTTTTTTTTACCTCTGAATAAAGTAATATAAAGCCTTTATCAGTTTTCTTGTAGTCTGTGTTCCTTCACTTCCTGTCCAAAAGACACAATGGGAAGTGAAAGTTAAGTGAGGGAAATCCCCCGCTTTAACAGTTTTCTTTGGAGCAATTAACCAATTGGAAATATTTATCCTTGCCTCTTGTTCTGATGACAACCGTTAAAACGTTGCATTTCTAGACTTTCAGTGACAATGGTCACCAGAAGAATAGAGAGTGTGAATTTCCCCAGTGGTAATAAAAGATAGCAGGAAAAAAACAAAAGTTCTTATCTTTCCATATTTTATCCAAAACCTAAAAAAAACCCAACACGGAAATCAAGTACAGTGCATACCTCCATCTACAGTGCCAGCCACAAATTTTCTATAAGAAAGAAAAGCCATATGACAGCCATTTTACTTTCTCATTTCTCAAAGAACAGAAACATTCCATAATGTTTTTAATGACTTTCACATGTAATAGCTTTAGCTTTATAGGCCCTTTGAAGAATATTTTATGGAATATGAGTAACATTCGGAGATGTTTATCATGTAATTTATGTTCACAGGTGCGTACCCTATGTCAATATCAGAGGCAGCTGTTCTGGGCGATGAGGTGGGACGCCTAAAAGCCAAAGATCCAGACTTGGAAGAGAATGGAGCCATTAAGTATCGTATTCTAGATGGAGATGGAGCAGATGTATTTGAAATCACAACGGACTATCAAACTCAGGAGGGAGTTGTCAAACTCAGAAAGGTACATATGTTTAAACCACCATTCACTGCTGAAAAACCACCAGACTCAGAGAACTGGTGAAGGGCATGAGATATAAAACTTTTTTATTTGTCAGTCATGTTGTGCATATATAACATCCTTTAATAGCTGAGGCATGATTTACAATCAGCATTATAACCCAAGCAAAGATCCACTACACATTAGAAAAAAGTGGGAAAACAACAAACACTCCATACTTGAAATTGACTTTAAAAAATCGACCTTTGATCTATCAATATTTCCAGATTAAATAACCTCTACATTTTAATTTTTCCATATATAGCCCAGTTTTATAAACTTTATTGGAAGCAAAATTTACTGTAAATAAGACCAGATTTCTGCCAACATAGTCCATCATCTAAGGTGATGGAAATTCCAGGGGCAGAACTGAGTGATCCACCTATTAAACAATTCTATAGTGCAACCATGCCTGCCAGGCTAATTCGTCCCGGTCTTCCTGGTTGCACCCTTTTTGTTGTTTATGCATCTCAGTTGGTGGAATAATGTACTGTGTGCTTACAGGTGATCCTCTCCTCTGTACACCTATATCTTAATCACCAGCAGTGAAAATTGGCAGCCTTTCTCACTTCTGTCATCAGCTCTAAGTGTACTGATGTAAAGTGGGCAAACTGTCTCTTTTAGTTTTCATTCCCATCCTTGGTGCACTTTTTGGAGCTATGATGTCTTACATTATTGGGATAAGTCTAAGACTAGCCAGGAAATCAGGCGAGAAGATCAAGACAGTTGGCCCTAATGGGGTAGGATGTATAAATCTGACTCTGATTGTAAGTGAGGCCTTCCAGCCCAATTATTAATATAGCTTTCCACCTTTCAATCTTTTACAAATGTATTCTGTCCTTTTAACAGTGTGCCGCCCTAGACTGTGGTTCATTTATGTCCTAAAAAAATCTTCACCAGCAAATTAAAAAAACATATGTTTCCTGGGTAGCACTTAAATCAGGGTCCTAGGCCTAATATCCCTCTTGAACCAGCTATATAAATCTCTTATTGATATCTCAGTTATTCACAAACATAGATATTCGTTGAGCTATATTCCAATTTTTTCCTGATTGAGTATAAATGGAACACTCCTTTTGAATGTGAATAGTTAGGCCTCCAAGAACTATGGGAGCAGGCTACCACCCACACTACCCCTTCTGAAATGCATCACCTAGCATCTAAATCACATAAATAATGTCTGCTGTTTTCTATCATTGTAGACAGTAGATTACGAGGAAAAAAAGTTCTACAGTTTGAAAGTGGAGGCTGCTAATATCCATATAGATCCTCGATTCCTCAGCCGAGGGCCTTTCAAAGACACTGCCACTGTGAAAATTACTATAGAAGATGCTGATGAACCACCGATGTTTATGAACCCAAGCTACAACTTTGAAGTCTTCGAGAATGCTCCAGCAGACACGATTGTTGGAAGAGTTCATGCCAAGGACCCTGATGCAGCAAATGTTCCTGTAAAGTACGTTTCTTTTTGTGATTCTGTGTGCTATACCTGATCATGCTGAAGGGAATGAACACTGTATATACAGTATTTTCAGTTTTTATTATGTTACCTTCTTCTTGAGAGCTGTATAAGAACTGACGGACAATATATCCAACAAGAACACAAATAGCAATGACATTTTTTTTAACTGGCATGAGAAGGTTAAATCTTCTGCCATCTTCTTTGTGTCTGTCCCAGCTGTCAAGATTGCCCTTCTCCAACTCCTATTTCAATATTTTGAAATATTTTCAGTCCTTATGACTTGATTTAATCATATTGTAAGGCTGCCATTACATCTTCAAGCTGCTGTGTTTGTCCTCTTGTCTGGCTTATACTTTAGGTTCCATCCCACTTCTTGTAAGCTCAGGCATCATGGACAATACCCCATATAGTCTTCAGAACTTCAGACAGTCGTATTATCATGCTGCCTGAGTTTAGTGAGGGTGTTCTTGTTAGCAAGAATCAGCAAAACCTGTGTTTTGCGTGCTTAAAAGTGTAGTTTTTAAATGGTGGCTTACGTTAGAACATTCTGATGTATCAATGCCATTGAAGCCCACCAACAGACTAAAGACAAGGAGGAAGGGGCTCCAGAATAAATGTGAGAGAATGTCAAATTTAAGTTGCAATTGGAACAGGAGTAGAGGAGATATCTTCCAATGACATCACTTGTCTGATGAATAGTTGTTGTGTGGTCCTGAAACATTGCTTTTCTACGTGATCATGCAATAATAAAAACATTTGCACTTTCAGACACACTTGTCGGTATGCTGGACAAAATGTGAACCAGATGGAAGTCACTGCAGCACTCTTTTAATCCCATGAACAATTAAAACGTTTTACATATGATTTAGGAAACAATGCTTGACGTAGAAGTTCACTCAAATTCTAACTATACTTAAAATCTGCTACTGCCCCTATTCTAAACCTATTCTAACTATCCTGTAAATGCAAGATGTCTATACTTACCTTTATTGAGGGCACTGTGGTCCACTCACATGATCTCAGTGAAAAGGAGATTGCCGACAATGGCTACAGAGCTTGGGTGATCATGTTGCCCATAGGCTTACTATGGGGCATCCATTGCTGGCTGTCTCTCCTCTACACTGAAGCCAGTGCTGGGACCAGATCATGAGACCTGACTGGAGAGCCTTTAGCATAGGTAAGTATAGAAATATATACATATTCCCTTTTACAGGGTAGTTAGAATAGGTTTAGAATGGGGGTGAGAGAAGGTTTAAATGAGAAGTATGGGACTTGTTTTTTTAAATCCTACTTACCTAGGTGGATGCAACATCAGACCGATGCTGGAGCGCTGGGCTGTGAAGGGGAAAGGAGAGGCTGGATCGGGCTCCCAGCGGCTCACTGAGAGCCTGAGCCAGGTGCCGCTTCAGACTCTGGGATGGATCCTACTTTAACCCCCCTGGCGGTATTCCCGAGTGTAGCTCGGGGTAAAGTTTCAGTACCAAAAGCGGTAACCCCGAGCTACACTCGGGCTTACCATGTAGCGCTTCTCCGGGATCCCTCGATCACTTACCTTGTCCTGTGCTCCCGCGATGTCCCTCCTGCAGTGTCCCCGGCAATGTCCTCCGGCAGATGCCAGGCATCTGTCATCTGGGTTCCGTCCCCTGCGAGTGTCGGGACGTACGGGGGACGGAACGGTGGGAAATTTGAAAATGACAAAGAGTGACATTCACTAAATTCACTAAAATCGCATAGTAAAACATTCCTGTATCAAACCATTTCACATACATTTTGTCTCGAGTGCTTTGTCCTGTGCCCTGCCTGCATTTTTACTGTTCTGCCTGGAAATGTCCATGGCGTCCAAAAAGCGTCCCTTTAGGTCAAAATCGGTTTTAGACCGGCTAGAGAACAGCGATAGTAAATCAGAACCACTTGCAGAATTGAGTGATAATGATTTGTGGGGAAATTCGTCATCAGACACTGAAAACGATTTTGCAACTTTGCTCAGTGATGTGCGAACTTGGCGCTATATTTCAAATTTCAGTGTTTTTGGTTTGATTATATTATTGAATTAAATTTATTATTATATTATTATTTTTTATGATTATTTATTAAATTATAATTTATGATTTCGTGTTTCAAATTGTAACATACCCGGGATGTTTACTAGACTCTTGTTCGGACAGATTTCAGTGAGTTATTCCTAAAAATGACAGGCCTACAATAAAAAAAATACATATTTCCATGCAAAAAAATGTACCTCTTTGAGCACAGAAATATGGACATAATCAGACCGCTAGGGAGGTTAAAGTCGGGATCTTTCCCCAACCTTGACCATTTTAGTGATTTCAGCCGACGGCGGGCTTCAGCCCACTGTCAGCTGAAAATGGGTCGCAGGAGTGCAAAACTAACTGCACTCCTGTGATCCACAGGAGAAGTACAGCCAAAAGAGCTTTGGCTGTACTTCTCCTTTAAGTATAGTTAGGACTTGACTGAACTTGCACTTTATTTAGTAAAAGGAAAAAAAAAACCAGACATTAGTAAATAGGGCTAGCAATTAAATCAAATGGATGTTTTAGCTTTTCTGTTGTATTTGAGCTCCCAGGTGTGCTGCTGACTTAACGGGTCATATCCATAATATAACATGACTCAGTATATCTGCTCTGTTAGCTTTCCGTGTTATCACAACATGGAGCAGATACTAGGGCTCAGTGTAATTGCAGTACTGAATCATTAAAGCACAGTTTCCCCCATGAATAAATAAGACAGGGGCTCAGACAACAGTAAGACACAGCGCCAGAACGTCTTCTGTCTCCGAAGCCATTGCATTTTGCACGGTACTTAAATCTTAAACCGCTTAGTAAATGTAAACACTCAGTCACAAGATTGTTAAGCCAGTATCATTTAGTTAGAGCTCACATTGAAATGAAAGGTACTTAATGTCCCATTGAGATTATACCGGACTGCCAACATAAACTGCATTACAGCCCATCGTTCAAATTGATGCTGTTAACCTCCCGTCTGACACCCTAGGCCGAGTGCAGGGGTTATGGATTACTGAACCCAACTCCTGATTCATTAATGGGTTCCTTGGTGAATTTTGAGCTTGTTTGGCTGCTTGGACATTGATAATCGGGAGCAGAGGTTGATTATCCAATTACATTTATCGACGTACAAACCAATAAACCGTATGTGTTGTGTTACAAAAAAATCATTAAAAACACATCAGACTAAAAGCATTAACAACCCCCTCCCGAGTTCACTTAGACATTTATTATATAGAAAGGTTTCTGACAGCAAATAAGTATACCTAAAACAAGAATCCTTCTTGGATAAGCCATTTCTAACTTTCTAAAAAAAAACAAAAAACAAAACAGGATATTGTGGGACAGGACATTAACCTCCCTGGCAGTATTCCTGAGTGTAGCTCGGGGTAAATTTCAGTACCACAAGCGGCAACCCCGAGCTACACTCAGGTTAACCATGCGGCGTTGCTCAGGGATTCCCTGCAGCGCTTACCTTGTCCTTCGCTCCCGTGATGTGTCCCCTGCAGCATCCCGGCCATCTCCTCCGGCTTCCATGTTCCGGTCCCTGCGAGCGTAGGGACGTACGGGGCATACGGGGGCCAGAACCGGCGGCAAATTTTCAAATTTTAGAAACTGTCATTTTCTAATAAACGAAAATGACATAGTAAAACATTACTGTTTCAAACCATTTCACATACATTTTGTCCCTACTGCTTTGTCCTGTGCCCTGCCTGCATTTTGACTGTTCTTTCTGCCTGGAAACTTAGAAAAGTCCATGGCGTCCAAAAAGCATCCCTTTACGTCAAAAGCGGTTTTAGACCGGCTAGAGAACAGCGATAGTAAATCAGAACTACTTGCAGAATTGAGTGATAATGATTCGTGGAGAAATTCGTCATCAGACACTGAAAACGATTTTGCGACTTTGCTCAGTGATGTGCGAACTTGGCGCTATATTTCAAATTTCAGTGTTTTTGGTTTGATTATATTATTGAATTAAATTTATTATTATATTATTATTTTTTATGATTATTTATTAAATTATAATTTATGATTTCATGTTTCAAGTTTTATCCTACCCGGGATGTTTACTAGACTCTTGTTCGGACAGATTTCAGTGAGTTATTCCTAAAAATTACAGCCTACAATATAAAACGCCAAATTTCCATGCAAAATTAATGGTACCGCTTTCAGCACCAAAAATCTGAACTAATCATACCGCCAGGGAGGTTAAAGTGTATGTAAAGTCAAGACTTCTTTTTTAGTTTTGGATAGAGTGGGTAGGGGTCTGTCCCTCTACCAAATCTTTATTCCTGCCCATGTCCCCACTGGCAAGATTTATCCTTCTATTTGTTCTTGGTGACCATTGTCACCAACAGAGAGAAAGGAGAAATCCTATGTTTTAGAATTGCTGTGAGCAGGGGCGGACTGACCATTTGGAAACTCGGGCACTGCCCGAGGGCCCGGGGTCAGTAGGGGGCCCCATGAGATGCCCCTGGTACCTTTTTCATAGGCTTTTTTGAGTTTGGGCAAGGACACAGGGGCCCCACAATCCCCTATTGCCCATGGGCCCCTTGAGTTGTCAGTCCGCCCCTGGCTGTGAGAGCAAATGGTGAGAGGAAATGACAGCTGTCTAAAGCTGTCCATACACTGCATGAATATTGGTCAATTTCTGCTGGATCAACAATCAAAATTCCAGCTGTGGGTTGCTCTGTTGGCATCACCTGGTTCAAATTTTATCAAAGGAGCCAGGTGTAAAATTGATGGCCGAACAATGTATTCATCCAATCAGATGTAGTCTCTGTTAGGGTACTCAGCAGTCAAGAGTCCCACCAGCTGTTGGCATTTGTTGGCATCACCTGGTTCAAATTTTGTCAAAGGAGCTGTATGTAAAATTTATGGCCGAACAATGTCTTCATCCAATCAGATGTAGTCTCTGTTAGGGTACTCAGCAGTCAAGAGTCCCACCAGCTGCTGAATACAATAGCCAGC